ATGCAATTTTTAATCTCCTCTGGTATATTTTCTGGAAACCTGTGGGTAGAAGGGAGGTAGCTCTCAGGTCCTATCTTATCAGAGGGGGCCCACTGCTCCTGGAAGTACTTCCACAGGCTGCTTGTCAGCTGTGCTTGAAGAATTCTCTGAAGCATTTGATTAGTACTCTGAGAAAATGATGTTCTCAGATTCCTGATAGCTTTCAGCAAGTAACACAATGTCCTCATTTTCAGATGTGCAGTAATTATATTTAGGACTTCTCTGAAAGAAAACATTCAGAATTCTTCTGAAGTACATTGTCTTCATTCCACTTCCAAGCTCTAGAACATGTAATGCAGAACACTTATACCCAGCCTGCACTTTTTCCCTTCCCTGTTTTTAGTAATGGTGGCTGACCTCTCCCAACAACCCAGCCCAATATGACACAACAGTAACATGGAATCATACCCCCATCCTCACTCAGCACATACATTCAACACCAAAACAACGTGAAAGCCTGCACAAACATACACTTACTATTAACAAGGCAGCAGTGGATTTATTTTGCAGCTCATTCTGACTCTTTGACTCCTGATTTACTGGCTGCAAAGCAACTGATTGTTCAGTCTTATTGAACATGACACTTTCCCAGTTGACAGTAAGTTGCTTATGCAGGGGATAGGGATTCAGATTACAGATTTCTCTAGTTTCAGTCTGTTACAGCACTGGGTTGGGATTACTTTCATGCCTGCATTCACTCAAGCTCCCTTATATTATATTACAATAATAAAATTACATGAGGCATTACACTATGTGGAACAAAACAGCACTTTGTGAGATGATGCAAAATGTATGTTGGTTCAACTGGTGAAAATTTATGGGACATTATTTGCATCTTTTCAGGTGACAATGTCCTGAAATGCTTACTTTGCAGGTCTAGTTCTGTGTAATTTTAGCAACCAAGCATGACTCCTGAGACCACTCTCTCAGGTCTGCAGCCAGGTGACAATGGCCAGCAACTTGATCACACAACTGGACCTCACCATATACCTAGAGCTACAGCCACTTCAATGATTATATGCAGTAATTTGAACAGGGCACCAGCCAAGTATATTTAAATTTTAGTATTACAACTTATTGTGTTACTACATGCATCTGATTTTAATCATTTTGTAAGCTACTTTGGGTGCTTGTTTTGGAGGAAAGACAGGATAGAAATACAACACTTTGAAAATAATCTGTTTCATAGAGTCTTAAGAGATGACAAAACACAGAGAATCTTCATGGTGTAGGATTGGAGGATGTATTTATTTTGAGTATGACTGGGTTGTTGTTGCTGTTTAGTCTTTAAGTTGTGTCTGACTCTTCGTGACTCCATGGACCAGAGCACGCCAGGCCTTCCTGTCTTCCACTGCCTCCCGGAGTTTGCTCAAATTCATGTTGGTAGCTTCGATGACACTGTCCAACCATCTCATCCTCTGTCGTCCCCTTCTCTTGCCCTCACTTTCCCAACATCAGGGTCTTTTCCAGGGAGTCTTCTCTTCTCATGAGATGGCCAAAGTATTGGAGCCTCAGCTTCAGAATCTGTCCTTCCAGTGAACACTCAGGGTTTATTGATTTCCTTCAGAATTATAGGTTTGTTCTCCTTACAGTCCAGGAGACTCTCAAGAGCCTCCTCCAGCACCACAATTCAAAAGCATCAAATCTTTGGTGGCCAGTCTTCTTTATGGTCCAGCTCTCACTTCCGTACATCACTACAGGAAAAACCATAGTTTTGACCTTTGTCGGCAAAGTAATTCTCTGGTTTTTAAGATGTTGTCTAGGTTTGTCATCACTTTACTCCCAAGAAGCAGGCGTCTTTTAATTTTGTGGCTGCTGTCACCATTTGCAGTGATCATGGAGCCCAAGGAAGTAAAATCTGTCACTACCTCCATATCTTCCCTTTCTATTTGCCAGGAGGTGATGGGACCAGTGGCCATGATCTTAGGTGGGTTTTTTTTTATGTTGAGCTTCAGACCATTTGTTTGTGCTCTCCTCTTTCACCCTCATTAAGAGGTTCTTTAATTCCTCCTCACTTTCTGCCATCAAAGTAGTATCATCTGCATATCTGAGGTTGTTGATTTTCTTCTGGTAATCTTAATTCCAGCTTGCAATTCATCCAGTCCAGCCTTTCCCATGATGTACTTTGCATATAAGTTAAATAACCAGGGAGACAATATACAGCATTGTCGTACTTCTTTCCCAATTTTGAACCAATCAGTTGTTCCATATCCACTTCTAACTGTTGCTTCCTGTCCCACATATAGATTTCTTGGGAGACAGATTAGGTGATCCGGCACTCCCGTTTCTTTAAGAACTTTTGTGTAGTCAATGAAGCAGATGTTTTTCTGGAACTCTCTGGCTTTCTCCATAATCCTGTGCATGTTAGTAATTAGGACTCTAGTTCTTCAGCTCCTTCAAAATCCAGCTTGTTCTCCAAAGTTGCTGGTATATTGACTGTAGCAACTGAACAGCGTCGTGTTTTAAGATTTTTAATAGTTCAACTGGAATGCCGTCACCTCCACTGGCCTTGTTGTTAGACATGCTTTCTAAGGCCCACTTGACTTCACTCTCCAGGATGTCTGGCTCAAGGTCAGCAACCACATTCACTGGGTTGTCCTGGACATCCAGATCTTTCTGGTATAATTCCTGTGTATTCTTGCCACCTTTTCGTGATGTCTTTTGCTTCTGTGAGATCCCTACCCCTTTTGACCTTTATCATGTTCATCTTTGCACAAAATGTTCCTTTAACATCTCCAATTTTCTTGAACAGATCTCTTTTTTTCCCTTTTCTATTATTTTCCTCTATTTCTTTGTACTGTTCATTTAAGAAAGCCCTCTTGTCTCTCCTTGCTATTCTTTGGAAGTCTGCATTCAATTTTCTGTAACTTTCCCTATCTCTTTCCCTTGCATTTTGTTTCCCTTCTCTGCTATTTGTAAGGCCTCGTTGGACAGCCACTTTGGTTTTTGTTGATGCCTCCTGCACAATGTTATGAGCCTCCATTCATAGTTCTTCAGGCACTCTGTCCACCAAATCTAGTTCCTTAAATCTGTTCTTCACTTCCACTGAGTATTCATAAGGGATTTGGTTTAGATTATACCTAACTAGCCCAGTGGTGTTTCCTACGTTCTTCAGTTTAAGCTTGAGTTTTGCTATAAGAAACTGATGATCAGAGCCACAATCAGCTGCAGGTCTTGTTTTTGCTGACTGCATAGCACTTTTCCATCTTTGGCTGCAGAGAAGATAATCAATCTGATTTTGGTTTTTCCCATCTGGTGATGTCCATATGTAGAGTCTCCTCTTGTGTTGTTGGAAAAGTGCTTGTGATAACCAGCTTGTCCTCTTGACAAAACTCTCTTAGCCTTTCGTTTTGAACTCCAAGGCCAAACTTACCTGTTGTTCCTTTTATCTCTTGACTCCCTACTTTAGCATTCCAGTCCCCTAGAATGAGAAGAACATCTTTCTTTGGTGTCATTCCAGGTGTTGTAAGTCTTCATAGAATTAGTCAGTTTCAGCCTCTTCAGCATCGGTGGTTGGTGCATAAACTTGGATTATTGTGATGTTGGAAGGTCTGCCTTGGATTCGTATTGAAATCATTCTGTCATTTTTGAGATTGTGCCACAGTACAGCTTTTCCCACTCTTTTGTTGAGTATGAGGGCTACTCCATTTCTTCTACGGGATTCTTGCCCACAATAGTAGATATGATAATCGTCTGAATTGAATTCGCTCATTCCTGTCCATTTTAGTTCACTGATGCCCAGGAGGTCAATGTTTATTCTTGCCATCTCCTGTTTGACCACATTCAGCTTCCCAAGGTTCATAGATCTTACATTCCAGGTTCCTATGCAGTGTTTTTCTTTGCAGCATTTGACTTTCCTTTCACTTCCAGGTCTGTTCACAGCTGAGCGTCCTTTTTGCTTTGGCCCAACCACTTCATTAGCTCTGGACCTAATTGTCCTTGTCCTCCACTCGTCCTTAGTAGCAAGTTGGACGCCTTCCGACCTGAGGGGCTCATCTTCTAGTGTCATATCTTTTAGCCTTTTGTTTCTCTCCATGGAGTTTTCTTGGCAAAGACACTGGAGTGGCTTGCCAGTTCCTGCTCCAGGTAGATCGCGTTTAGTCGGAACTCTCCACTATGACCTTTCTGTCTTGGGTGTCCCTGCACAGCATAGCCCATAGCTTCTCTGAGTTACTCAGGCCCCTTCACCAAGACAAGGCAGCAATCCCTGAAGGGGGTGACTTGGTTACTTAGATATAAATGAACTTGTAGGGCAGCACTTTTACCCATCTAGAAAGGTGTTCACTTGCACACAATAGTTGGCCATCAGCTTAAATGTTCCTTTTTCTCGTTGCAGCCCATATGAAGCAAGTTTAATAGCAGTTCTGAAAGTGGCAGTTTTAAAAAAAGTAATAATAGAATCCCTTTTTGAGTGTTTAGATAATATTTAAAACTTATTTCAATGCAATATATCCTATCAAAATTTTCGAACTCCTCATCCCCTTTTCTTTTCTATTCGCTTTCTTGCTGATTGTAAAAGAACAGTAGTAAGAAACAATTAAATCGTTATTATGGTGGGTTAAGCGCTTATCTTTAAACGGCAGCTTGGCCATGAAACTGTCAAGGTAGACGGCGGGAGGGGGGCAGCATCCCCGTGTCAGAAGCCAAAAGACTCCGTCAGGGCGTTGAGAAGATGAAACAACGAACCCACCCACAGTACTCTCTACAAGAAGATCCCAGATAAGAATGGGTTTAATTTATATAGTTCGAAACAACAACAAAAAAAGCTGGAAAACAATGGATCTAAAGAACTGCAGTCACCACACTTAAATACCGTGCTCTCCATCCTCATCTCTGACCCCCCCCCTTCTTTCTCGCCTGCAGCCCATTCGTCCCTTAGTGGCTGACGCCAGTCACCGTTTGGCCCTTCCGTAAACCCTCCCCCCCTTCCGTGGACCGGGCTTCGTCTTTGCTTTCGTGAGGTGTTTTGGACTCTCGCGGAGCCCGTAGTTGTCAGGAGGCGGAGTTGTCTTCTATTTCAGGGGGAAGATGGCGGGTGTCGCTAGGTGTTACCGGGTCCCTTGCAGAGTCCTGCTGGCGCCAAGGTCGGGTGAGTGTCGATGTCTGGAGCACCGATCGCTTCCCCTCCGGGCCACGTTCTCGCGGCCCCCACCCGGTGGTCCTTTGGAAAGCGGCTGGAGAGTTGCTGTTGCCGTAGTTGGCGGGCTTGAGCCACGGCGCCGGCAAACGGGGGGAGGCTCGCCCTAAACGCTCGGGTGGCAGAGCGAGTGGGTCAGGAAGGTGAGGAGACCCTGCTGTGGCTCCTGCCTCATGGGCCCAGGAGCAGAAGAGCCGGCCCTTCCTCAGGTCTTAGACTTGGCAGTTCAAGGGAATGCTTTGAGAGGCGTTCGTAAACCTGGCGTGAGATCAAGAAAACACAACAGCTGTGGAAAGCCATAAGGTAAAACAGGAAAGCGTGTTTTTTCCCCAAAACGGGTTTTTCTTTTAAGAAGGCCAGTATATAAAAACACGTCACAAAAAGAGGCTGTACTTGAAACAGCAATACAGATGGAGATGCAACTATGAAATCAGAGAAGACGACAGAGAAAGAAGCAATTGAGGAATTGGAAAAGATTGTCAGTGGAAAGGATGTCACTGAAGACCAAGATCATCCACATTTTTGCATTTCCAGTCGCTGTCTACAGGTTTGAAAGCTGGACAGTGAAAAAAGCTGACAGGAAAAAAATTAATTGTTTGAAATATGGTGCTGGAGGACTGCTTTGCAAATACTGCCAAAAAAAAAAAAAAAAAAAAAATATGGTGCTGGAGGATTGTTTTGCAAATACCGGGGACTGCCAAAACAAACAAACAAGTGGGACAAAAACAAACTAACTCTGAACTTTCCATCTTGGAAGAAGGCAGCAGGCCCAAAGGCTCAGATCAGAGAAAAATAAAATAACTAACCTTCAACACCCCAAGACAAGAGGAAACATCCTCCTGTGGGGATTTTCCCAGTATTTATAATTTCTATATAATTTCTAGTGATTGATTGAGCTTATCTGCCGCCCATTTAGACATAGTCTACTCTGGGTGGCTCACAAAATGCAGAATAAAAACAATATCAGATAACAATTTACAACACTTACACAGAACAAGTAGATAAAGATAAAGAAAAAGAGAAAGTTATGTAGTGCCTGGAGGGAAGGCCTGTCTACATAACCAGGTCTTGAGTTGGTTTTTGAAAATGCCCAGCAAGGGGGTCAGACGAATCTCAGGGGGGACCTTGTTCCAGAGACTGGGAGCCACTGCCAAGAAGGCCCGGTTGTCTTGTTTTTTCTTTGCAGGCCTCGCTCCTTCTATATTTTGGGGACTTTTTCTACAGTTTCTTTAGTCTACCTTTATGCCTCATAGGAATTTATCTGAATTTAAAAATGGCTCTGTATTGATTAATTTTGGATCAAAACCTGTAATTATTTCTGTGTCCTCTCTTTTCTTAATTGGGACCCATCTTTTCAAAATTTAAGAGTTGTAAATTGGTGAAGTCAGTTACTAAAAATTTGTCATCTTACCTTCAATTGGCACACAGATCATAGGAAGACACCAAGCTTTGGAAACAAAGTATAATAGTCTATTAGATATTTGGATGCCAAAAATAGGTAAAAGGTAAAGGTTCCCCTTGGCATTAGTCCAGTCGTGTCCGACTCTAGGGGGTGGTGCTCATCCCCGTTTCCAGGCTGTGGAGCCAGCGTTTGTTCATAGACAATCTTTGTGGTCACGTGGCCAGCACAACTAGACACGGAGTGCTGTTACCTTCCCACTGTAGTGGTACCTATTTATCTACTCGCATTTTTATGTGCCTTCGAACTGCTAGGTTGGCAGGAGCTGGGACAAGCGACAAGAGCTCAGTATGGATTTGAACAGCTGATCTTTTGACCTTGCAACCCAGAGGCTTCTGCAGTTTAACCCACAGTGCCACCATGTTGCTAGGGCTATGTCGCTAGGGCAAAAAATAAGATGTCCTAAATAAATGAAAAGTAAAACATTTGCATCAGCATTCTATATGTCTGGTTATTTTTGATGTTCTGATGGGCCTCATTATAAAATAAGCCATTCTGTGAGGACAAGAAAGTAAACATGAATACCTCAAATTATACATATATTGATATAAAATACTTCAGATTATTGGTCTATTATTTTAAGAGATGATCTCTCATTTTTGTATTTTTTATTGAGCTTTCTTATGCAAGTGTTATTTGGAAAAAATCTTTGTTAATTTCAGCCAAAGGAGTACAGCACTTTCATTTTGTCTCTCACACATTCTCTGTTATGTATTTTCCTACATGCAAGGATACACTCGGGCTTTCATACAGCTGTAGAAAAGTGAATGCAATTGAATTTCATCATGGTGTTTGTGAACCAATGTTTTCAATTCACAGGAGGCCAGGTCTTTTCCAGCCCTTTCAAGTCCTTCCAATGTATAGGAAATAGCGCTGTTCTTACAGTCATCTTGTATGCAGGTAGTAGGAAATTGCATGATCGCAATTGGATCTAATCTGGCATTACTCTTTATAGTTCTGTATAAAATGGGACTTTTCCTAATTCCATAGCTCAATTCTTCTCCATGGGTCTAGTGATCCAGTACATTCTATTTTTTTTTTCAACAAGGTTAAAATAGAACCTAAGCTACAATATTAAAAGTTAGAAGTAAAAAGTTAGTAGCCATAATTCAGGTGCAAGAGAGGTATCCTGGCTTCTAAATAGAAATGTATGCATGCATATCTACTTGTTCCAAGAATTCCTTACTTACATTCTTGTAGTGCCTACCATTTAATTGCTGTTGGTCTTAATGGCATGTGTGATATTTGGCTACTATGTTCTTGGCCAAATTTGGGTAGCCATTATCATTGTCCTCTTTATATA